TATTACGCACATTATGTTTTTGTGTGTACTTATCAGTCAGGTATTCCGACTGTACGGACGACCGCGAGCAGGAGTTTGCCTCTCGGTGGAAACGACAAATATTGTTTTTGTTTTGTACGAGCTGGACATATAACTCATGTTACATTTGACCACTTTCTAAATGGCATTGTGTAATCATAGCTTTCGGCCGTGGGAGCCGTGCCAATTAACACTTATCAGAGGGGTACACAAAGCCCGCAGTCTAGACTACCAGTTGTCCGACTTCCATTTTTGTGGAAGTCGCGGTAGCTGAGTGGGTTAGGCGGCTGACTTTGTGTGCTGGCGATTGGGTGCGTGACTCTGAGGGTGTGAGTTCGAATCCCGGATGGGGCTCAACTCAAAAAGTGCTAGAATTTGTACTAAGAAAGTGTAATCCCAAATATAACTCATGTTACATACTAATTATTGTCTTACTCTTTAATCTTCGATTGGAATTTAGATCAGTTTTGACGTGAACATGTAAAGAGAAAAGAAGCTGTAAAACTAAACGTATTGTGATCGAACCTATATACCTTTGTAAAAGCCACTTTAACAAACACTTGTTTTCATGATATCTGCAAATCCGTGGCACGATTCTGGCCATATCCTGAGCATGTGAATCATAATCAAAAAGTGATGTTACAAGGCGTCCATGCCACGTCAACGACACATGCAAACACACGATAATTGCAATACGGGCCCCTAAACCACTGAGTCTCCGTGACCTGGAGACACATGTGATTGAGCGTATGTAGGGACGTAGTCTGCCATACAGACCCTAAGCAAATATATCCAAGGCCACGCAAGTCTAGAAAATGTGGCAATTCTAGATTTCCACATCTTCAGGAGAAAGTCTCAGGGCTCCTGTTCATTATGTTAATTTTCTTTTTACTATGAACTTTGTTTCTGTAAAATATGTTCATTTCAGAGACTAGTTGTTAGTGTAGTATGGACGGGGAGAAGACAAAAGACAAACTGGATACTCGTGCTGATATACTTTTGAATTATATACTGAGTGAAAAAATATGGGTGTCCCTTTATTTTTTGCCAAGGTTTCTTCACAAGCTTTGTTATTGCGTAGCTTGTGAAGAAACCTTGAAAAAAATAACTGAACATTTGTGCTTTTATGTGGTCCCTTATATTTTTTCCCTCAGTATATGTAGACATTCGTTCTTGTCTCGGGAGAAATGTATATTTTCCAGTTTCAACCAAATGTACATTCAAAAGATATCGAAATCTAGGTTAAGCTATTATAATCATATTTACAATAAAAATACCCAAAGAATGGTCTGTTGTCCAATTGTTTTGTTTTCCATATCTTGTTCCGGTCTGTATCACAGAACGATATTATTTTCCACCCAGCCCTTACAGTAATGCCTACGCCCTAAATGAAGCATGTCTGGATATTCCCAGGTCATGAAGTCTATTCTAAGCAAGTCTAGCTATGTATGGCCTTAAGTCACTGCTTGAAGAAAGGTTCCTTTATGATTTTATTTAGTAAATATTAGTATTTTTCACTGACTCAATCATATTAGAAAACACATGGCAACCTATACTTCATTGTGACTATGCTACAGTGATCGTTGTAAAACACAAGTGTTATTGCCTTTGTGTTAACTGACAGGCTTTGGGTATCAAATATGTGCAACTCCGTCCAGAGGTGATGTTATGCTGTTCTCTACATATGGCTTTTTGCAATGCTTTGGTTACACTAAATGATAAATGATTGTTAATTGTACATATGATGTGTTTGAAGGATAATCTCAGCTGACTCAGATACTTTGCACGTGTTTTCCCCCACTCTTTCAATACACGTAAAAATTAATTTTCTATATGTCTGTAAGTGGCTGAATTTGGCCACCTGAGGTGGTGAGCGCAGCATTCTGGTAACACTGCGTTGAGAGAAGAAAGCGCTTGGCAAGATACCAATACATATGCTTGCCATTTAAACCTTTATCTTTTGTTTGTGGAACTTGATTTAATAATTACAGATACTTCCTGCACCTGTATCCCCAATATAGATGTTGTTAGTCTGTGATTCTTACAAATTACTTGGTCTTTTGTTCAACTGAAATTAAGTTCTTTGCCTTTTATAAAAAATTACATTTTCAAGACACCAAGCTCCAGTCTTAATGTGCCTATGTCGGGAATCAAACACAGGCTTTTGACCTGACAAGCGAACGCTTTAACCATGAGCGTACCCCATGATTCCTTGATGCTGTTATTGAATATACATTGGCACATTTATTATACATTCAAAATTGAACCCAGTTTTGTCACCATATATCCTTTAGTTTTCATGTTAGTGACATGATCTGCAGACTGATAATTGAAAATAGGTATATAAATAATAATTGTTTGCAATCTTAACCCAATTTAGTTTTCCATTTATCTAGCAATTTTTAGTTTCTATTTCCGGGAAATTCTGTACGAAGGTACATTTAACAGTTTCACCCAGTAACAGTAAATCATACAGATAAAACGTTTCGGTACTTTGATATATTAATAAATACGCATTATATTCCACGATATTGCAATGCCAAAAAGATTAACATAATTGTATAATGTATAACAAATCAGACAACAAAAAGCAAAAGCAAAAATGAAAACGCATAAGCAACAAAACTGCTGTCAGGTTGTAAGCTTTCGATATTTATCGAAACTGCTTAGTTATCGAAGTTTATGAACTAATTGCAATCAGTAGAATTTGCTAAAAACTGCCTAAGAGATGGAATCAAAATAGGTGTACAGTATATTCCGTCGGGTAACTGAAATTTGAGAAACAACCCTCCGTATGGGATAATATCTCTAATACCGAATCAAAAATAGGGAATACCAAGTATATGTGCATGTTTACACATTTACAACAGTAATTTACACCGGGAATCATTAATACATTGTAATCATCTTTTTTAAAAGTATAGATGATGAAATTTGTGCAGTTATTATCAGTCGGATAACTCTAAAATAAGGGACCTACCGGTTCATGTCTGTGTGAACACATCTGTCTGTGTTTTATTGTAATAAGCAGTCTCTCCTTGTATGTTACATATAAGAAGTGTACCTGAGTTCAGTTATTTCAACTTTAATGTAATTTCCATTACTAAAAGTATAAACGATATTACCTACGGATCAGAATGACTTATCAGTACCCCACCACCGACCCCACCCTAGGCCTACCCATCCCACACCCTCTCCCTCTCACACATGCAACCCCACCCCACCCCCACCCCCACTCCCTAACATACATATCGCTCTGGCCCATAGACGCGATATTTGAACCTTTTAAACAGGCATCATATGCATGTGTATGTCAAGAAAAACACGCACGTTAAGAGTGGTGCTCAGTCATTGGGTATCACTTCGCCTTGTGTTTCTAATTATCTCAGTACATTATGGCGAGGTCGGACGCGCTAACGAACCCTATGTTACAGTTATATTACAGTACCATTGAAATACATGTTAGAGTTGTGTCAATCTTGTAACACTCTATTTCCACATTACCAACCATCTACGCGTGTACTAAATATATGACAAACCTAACCCTGGTCATACGAGATTTCGAAGGTATTAAAATGCATGTCCTACAATGACAACATTTACATATGTTACACATGCTAGAAAACACATGAAAACATTGGCCAGATTTACACATCTGTGAAATGCATGTAAATGCAGAGTTGAATGTTCGTGTATTTTAACACCCCTTTAAACGTGTGTAAATCTGACAGTCAGATGATACGTTGATTTCAAACGTTGTTCATATGGCCGCCAGATGAAACGAGTATTTCTTAACGTTAGTAAATTTGGGTAATACAGTCATTTTGTGTGGTGAATATTTTAGATTTGTGATCACATTTATATTGTATTAGGAATGTGTACTGTGTAATCCTGATTACATATATATATATACTATCCCCCAAAAGAAACGCATAGACGTTTTGTGTATTTAAAAATCTATTAATTACCTATTGTGTTGAAACAATTGTCAAAATATGTAACACAATTGTTGATAACATGATTTTACACACATGCATAAGAAAAAAATCGACTTTACCTGAAAATGTTGATTTTGAGGAGGTCACAAGGATTAAAAACTCAAACTTCCAGTTGAAATTGTGCAGCAAAGAGTATGCACTGTCTGGCTATAAAAAATCCGGATTACTTTCGGAAATTGACATTCCTTTTGAAGGAGTTTCCAGGTCAAATCACTACGCCACGTCTTGATGCTGCGACATGGAACATCGCCATTGAAAGAATGCACGCTGGAGATTACCAATCTTCTGTTGCCAGGCGTCTGGATGTTGGTCTGAGCACGATATCACGGCTCGTTACAACCAAACAGGTATAGCAAATGATCGTCCCCGTACAGGCAGACCTCGAGTCACCACTGCAGCTCAAGATCGGTACATCCGGGTACTACATTTGCGTGATCGTACTACCACGGGTGAGAGCACAGCAGCCAGGGTGCCAGGACTTCGGAGGATGTCAGGTCAAACTGTATGCTACAGTTTGAGTGAGATTGGGCTGATAGCCAGGAGTCCCGACGTCGGGACCGTGCAACGTTGTCACCATTGCGCTCAACGTCTCCGTTATCTAAAATTATCCACTTGGTTGTATACACATTAGCTTTTTCTAAACTGATGTACAAATTCATTCACTAAAGTCTATTTGTAGACGAGTTGTACATGTTTGAAAATACAGCATTTTCGTAACACACTTCTGGCCTATGCGTTTCTCTTTTGGGATAGTATATTTATATATGATATTCCTATTGAAAGCAGTGTAAAACCAAACTCACTCACGCACTCGAGTTTTCTTAGGACTGAGTAAATTATCAGACTTCACTCAATATTGAGACTAAAGTTTGTTTCGAGAAATTGGGACCAGAAAGGCAGATATAGAAACACAATCTGACAGCAACAAAAACAAAAGTAATACCGGTAATCTTAGGATCTTACTGCCAAACCATAAATTCCTACCTTTTCTGTCCACTCAATTTTTGTATTCCTGTTCCACATATGGGTTGGGGCGGGGGCGCGTACCTGAAACATTAGTCAGACAAAATATGTTATATGTAGAAAATGGAGTATTTCTTGGTCCAATATGCTTATATTATAAGGAGTCGTAGCATCGGCATTATTTCAGCCATGTAGCGGTCCCCAAAGAGGAACTAGTGGTAACTATATTTATATAAAAACACTGGCACGTGAAAAATGTGTACAGTATGAATATGAGGTGATTTGGTCACTGCATCAAGATTGCCATTGTTGGAATGGTAAGCCGACTTTAGGCAGGGTATCAAAAGTGTTCCAGTTTCCAATCTCGAGTGTGCAGTAAGATGCTTGACTTTTCACACGAAAATGCATGCTTGCACCTATTGTTAAAAGGAATGTGTGTTTATCCACTGTATACTGTAAGCATCTTATAGTGTGAAGTAGACACATGGAACAAAGTGGTACTAAACATTTCAGTTCAATATCCCAAATTTAGTTGCATAACCCTGCATATTCATTCTTATTTTGGAAATAATGCGAATCACCCTGCAACATAACAGCATAAGAATAGCTTTATCACTTACATCAGCAGTTACGTGTAGATATTGTCTACACACTTTATTCCCAAGTAGTAGAAGTAATGGGGGTATGAGATCACTTTCAAGAAAGGTCGCTTTAAAGCTTTATTTCACAAATAAAGCTTTTGTCAGACCCTTAGATCTAACCCGCCATTGCCTACTACTGTTTGAATCCACGGCCACGCGTGACACTTCTGTACCGCACATTGCACTATATCACGTTGATCTCAGCAAAACAGTTTAATGTGAATCGTCTATGATCTCTTTGGTGTTTGTAATAAAGGCTTGCTTGGCTTTTCGTACTCCCTGTTCTATGTACTTTTTTTTCTCGTCTTCGCTGATAGCAGACTTACGAGACTTGGATCGAATCTCTTGTTTCATTTTGTTATATTTTTCAGAGTTCAGAGAGGATCAAACGAAACTCCTCCTCTGAGATCTTGTTGTCAGTGAGTGCCGTAGAGATATGGTCGCTTACCGTGTTCAGCTTTGCTTCAGCCAGAACCCTGATTTCATCTTGTTTCAATGCCTTACGATGCAATTTGCGTGATGCAAACTTAAGCACCAACCCTAAAACCCCTGCCACCCCAGCTGTTATTTCAATGCCTAGCACTATAGGTGCGCCCACGATGGTGGCTAACAACCCAACACCTGCCGCCCCTAGCCCCATGCTGGTTGTCATAAGGGCAGTATCAGCCCCGTTCACTTCCTATATAGTGCTTTCCGAGTGTCACGGTCTTGTTCTAGTTGGCGTTTTACATCACGTAACTGTCTCAAGCGGAACCCGTCTATGGTTTCCAGGGTCTTCGCTACTTCCTCTACGACTGGGTATAGCCCCATCCTGTGTGCATATAATATATCTTGCCAGATATATTCTAATTGGGCTTTTGTTAATAGTCGGTCAACGTACTTGACGCTTATAAGGTTTAGATCCGGGTGTACGAAGATACTGGAAAAGATAATAGGGGACTTTTGGGCTATACCAACCCCCGGCAGATCTATCGAATAGAGCAGTAATGTCCGTTGGGCCCCCAATTGTATGACGATACGGCAACGTATGGGGGTTGATACGGTGTTATCCCAATATACTGTCACCCCAGGTAAAAGGCGCAGGCCTGAATCCCTAACAATACTACCCCTTAGCATGACTTCTATGATGAGTGTGGAGCCTGATGCCATAACTACTAAGGTATCGGACTTCAACTCTGACTCCACGGGTGCCATGAACAGGTTGCCCGTGGAGTCGGGTATTAGGTAAGCTAGCACCTCTCCATAACTCAGTATGAAAGACGTGAGGGTGAAGCCGGTGTTCTTAATTTCGGTGACATGCCCCTCTTCATTTAAAGAGATGTAAGGTGAGGTGAGGATTATGTTGATCCTCCATTTGGGTTCTTTAAAATCTGATAACGACACCCGCCTATACACGTTGTCTTTCAAGTGTAGGACGTACAAGGTGTCTTCCTCACCAAGCTGATTAAATCCCTCCGTGTCCCCTAGGTCGTTAAGCGTAGCGTTGGGACAGTGCCTAGTCATTGCTATAATACTATTACGAGATAGTTTCCAATTGTTTTTTCTGATAATCTCTCAGGGGTGCACTTCACTCCCATGAAGTGTATGTTGTCGGGTAGGAAGATCTTGGTTAGTGATGTCGTGTCTTCCACGATCACGGTGACTCCCTGCAGACTGGTTTTGGAGTTGACACCCATCCGCACGTAAACAGTGCAAACGTGATACTGGTGTCGTTTCCCCCACCGGAGTTTGATCCCCTTCACGATTTCGACTTCATCCTGCGATGGTTCCCCTAGGTAGACTTTGATGATCAGAGTGGCGTTCTCTGGTACGTTCGCCAGGACGTTGACCACGCAAGCAAATTCAGACACCAACTGCAATGTCACGTCTTGCACTCCCGGTTTACTCGATAGCATGTGGGCTGCCATACTGGCGACTGGGCTGATGACTACGCTACGCCTCTGAGCCAGGACGTAAGCCACAAGCAGGGTTCCGTTGTTCACGACTTTGTTTAGGTAGTTGTCTTTGTTATCCGTGAACACGTAGGGGGAGCCGAGCCTTATATTGAGAAACCAGTCGCCTTTAGCGGGTAACAACACCCACTTGTCATCGTGGGTGAAGACGAGCGTATATGGCTTGTTTCGGGCGACGGTAGTGCTTTCAACATCTTCTAAGTCGAACAGTTTGCCCCCGAACGATGGGTATATTATCCATTTATCATCACTGGTGTTGACTAGAGCGTACCGAGTGTTGACGACCGCTCTTGAGGTATCTACTATATCACCTAGGGCTCCACCAGAGGGGACCTCAACGCGTTTATAAATGTTGTTTGTCAGTTGCAAGGCATACAATTTACCATCTATTCCGGGGTCGTCGAAACCGCGTGTGTCCCCGAGGTCGGAGATCCCTGCATTGATGCATTTTTTCAACCTCATCCCGGGCCCTTGTGCGCTGGTCATTTTATGTGCAGCGTTATGCTGAGGTATCCTATATTCACGGGATTATGATTTACATCTAACCCCGATATTATCAGCTCAGGGATGTTGCCCCGGGTTAACCTCTTATACTGCCGCGGTGAAAACGACTCGGTTCTGTGGTGGTTGTATTTCTCCGTTTTCACCGGTACGGCTCTCAGTGGAAGGGTGACCCCCTTGAATGTTGTCCGTTGTGCTCACCTGGCCGAGATGAATGCACAGCTCTCGGTATGGTACTAGGTCGGGTAACTTCGTGCCTGTGAAGGTAGTTGTTGGTTTCATCTCGTCAGGTGACATACCTAGTGTCCTCGCCAATGGTCGACCGAGTCTCAAGGAGTTTATTCTGTTGTTGATTAACACCACTGTGCCTTTTGTGTCGTTCATCTTGAGTTCGGCTCCCAGGGGCTTGAAGACCTCATCGCTTAGAGAGCACACGCTGTAGTAGATGTCAGTTATCTGGCTGCAAGCTCTACTGACGAACAGCTTATTGTTGCTGGTGTTGATGTTAGTCCATTGCGGTAGGTAGGTGATATTGCAGAGTGCGACTTCGAGTTGACCCGATATGTTATCGATCGCATGCATCAGCTGAACGGCCTCGCCGCTCGTTATTCCTGGAAGTGTTATGTACATGTTAGAGTATATATGCTCATTATATAATAATTTTAAAATGTACGCCCATGGAGTGTTTTACCCTAAACTGGACATAGATTTCCCACACAAGATCATGGTCTCTGATGGGCTGCATTTCAAATCGCAGTTTATAGATGTGTTCGACCGGTATAAGCTTTCGGTGACTAACGTCAAGGCAGTCCACGCTTGGTTCAACAACCCGATGCAGTTCTGGCAGAATCAACTCAACTTCGCCGTGTGGTACAACGGGGTGTGGTGTGACATTGACCGACACTCGGCGTGGACCGCTGAGTCGGTCTGTGTATTGCGTTCCGATGTACTACCAGATCAGGCGGTATCCTCAATGAGATCAGTGCCCGCTCCCACAGGACAAAGGCGTGGAGCATGATAAACCACCAGTAGGATAGACGGGCCTACGAACGTATTTGCAACGAATTTGAACTAAACCGGCGGATTGGCGTTTGCCGGGCCGAACCACAGGTTGGGTATCCCCATCGTTCACAACATGCCCCTCGTGGATGCCAGCGAGAAGATGAAAGAATGGGGTTACAAGTCGTATCATCACCTCACAACAAACGAGTGGGATGACTGTTACATGGCTTTCGACAACAGCAAGGATTACCGAGTCTGGAGGTTCGACCAGGGGGCAGCGGATGACTGGAAAAAGTTTATGTTGGACACGTCGAGAGGGTTCACTCGTGCCGGTGTAATCAGGTTAATCAGACTCGATTAGAACGTACGTGTGGGCGCTGTTAGGTGAGCAGACGCAAACGCGTTCCAACATCCTCGGTAAGGGGACTGCTTTCGATGCTCAGAAACAATTCGTTGTTAACGTTGAGGATGCTATCAATGCTCCAGTTGATCTCCCGAGTGCCAAACGCTACCAAGATGTGTTGGAATACGCTCGGTCGAAAGTCGACTACATCTTCGACGTGGGACTGTACATGGCCCAGAGCGATATGCAACTGAGAGTAAAAAAAGTGGTGGGCTACAACAACGAAATAGTCATAGCCACGGCAGACCAAAAGTTGGACGTCAACCCCGATGTTAAAGAACCACTAAACTTTGTTTTTTGTTACTCTTTTAACCATTACATATGAAAGATTTGTGGTTAGTCTTATGCGGAACACCGAATTTATTCTTTAAAAACTTGTGGTTAATTAATACCGAGCGATTAAAAGTGGCCAAAAAGTCGCCTGCTTCCCTCTCGCCCGCCAACGAAACCACAGACAGGTTACGTAACTCTGTCGCCAGAGCACTGCAGTGACGTCATATGAGGAACGATTTTCAGTTAGTTGTATAGAAAATGTGTAGCACGCTCATCATTTTGATGATTTCTCGACATCAACGATGACATGCC